CCTTCACCAAATTTGTCACGAAGGATTGTTTGGCCCATGCGAAGTAACATGCAAACTTGCGGTTTCACACTTTACGTTTCGTAGTTGCTTCATGTCCTAAGATAACCTTTCATTAATCATGAATTTACATAACTTCCATCAGGGAACTGGTACTCCAGCTAGTTAAAAATAAAATAAAACATTAAAATGATCGCATGCATGTCTCAAGTTGATATGTCTTGTGAAATACTAAAAATTATATATTTTATCAAGGTGATGTTAGCTGAGCTTAAGGGGACCGACCGATATTTCGCTATCAAGTGCTTAAAGAAGAATATAGTGATAGAAGATAATGACATAGAGAGCACAGTTATTGAAAGGAAGATGTTAGCACTCGGAAACAGCCACCCATTCCTATGTAAACTTTTCTGTACTTTTCAGACCGAGGTTTGTGATGTTCTTGTGTATTAAAATTATAAGTAACTGGAAAAATGTACCTATAAACACACTATATTATTACTTTTAAAACACTGGATGATTAGGAGTATATCATTTTAATTTAATTAAGAGAAAAGTGTGTGGAAATAAAAATATTTTAGTACATGTTACTAAACCACTCTTGTCGTTATTAACTAAGTATATTTCCATCGTTATTACAGGGTCATCTTTTCTACGCTATGGAATATTTGGGTGGAGGTGATCTTATGTTTCATGTCGAACAATCTGGAAAATTTGATCAGGATAGAGCCAGGTGACGGTTGATTACGGTTATTTCATCTTTCTAACATTATTTAGAAATATTTACAAAATTACAAGTAATGATAAATAAATAGTAAATTTGATATGTTTTATTATGTTGTTTCTATTTTTAAAGAGTGGTGAAAAACATCTTTTAATGTCTTTTTTACGATATATTGTGTTTCATTGGAAATTTTCTATAAATAAAATTCCCACAACTCAAGTCTGTTTGTTTGAAGTTAAGCATAAAGCTACACACCCGGTTTCTAGTGTTGTAAGTCCGCAGACATGCCGCTGTGTCACTGGGGAGCCAACTCAAATCAACTTAGTTATGAACTTTCTGTACTTTTTTTAGCTTAATAGTAAAAACCTTCATAAACATAAATTATTTTTACAAATAACAGTACGATAGTTCATTATAAGCAGTATAAACAATATTCATTAATATGAGCTTACATATATGAATAATGTTTTTCATAAAAGCAATTTGTTTAATCAACAGGTTTTATGCCGCAGAGATTGTGGTAACCCTAATGTTCATGCACAAGAAAAGAATCATCTACAGGTTGGAAGTTTTCTTTTATAGCTTTGTCTTTTTTCTGTAGTTATTATATGAAATATATATATGATTACCGAATACTGTTTATTGAGAAATAATTTGTATAGTTGTAAAGTCCCACTTTTATTTCAACTATGCCTTTTATAGGGTAACCAAAAAATAATTTATCAAGAAGACAACAAATAATCAACTTAATATAATTATTTGTACTTTCAGAAGACAGAGCTGAAACAAAAATACGAAACGAGGTCGAAACATTCTAGATCACATTATTTAAAATAATAATAATATAATGTTACCTTTTCATATTGCAAATTAAGTCAAAACTAAATATGACTTCTTTTTTAATAATGTATTCTCTATCAGTTTCGTTCCATTCGTTTATACGCATGTTTCGTAAGCAGTTGTATAATGGCTTGAAATTAGTATTTTCCGTGAAAGTGTTTACAAGTTGGCTTTATTTTCCAAATAAAAATAAAATTTTTCCAATGCCGTAGCTTTTCGCTTTCAATAGCTCTGTAATAATATGTATTCTTTCCTAAATAAAGACAACTATCCGAACCATCGCAATACGAACGTAGTGAGCTCTATGCATAAGAGATTATAAATCCTATACCGGTAACTTGGAGTTTTGTGTACATACAGTGTGCGCCATCTTGTATTTCATTTTGGCGTAATTTAAGCAACACCGAATGGTTCCGTGAAGAATTTTCAAATTATACATTATGTACTATTCAGTTAAATTTAGGTACAAAGAATAAAATACAGGGTATCTTTGTCAACCCAAATAGATTCATATGCCATATTTTAAAATATCCAACTAAACTTATTCGCCTAAATAATTCTATTAACATTTCCATGGCAATAAAAAATGGCGTTGATTTGACAACCATCGAACAGATCTATGGCTCTGCGCTTTCGCTTCTGACTAATTCAGATAACCAATTCAAGTGTGAAAAACGCGTAGTTTTGGAACTACGTTGTCACTAGGCGCTACCTACCTTACCTTATTAAGTTTCAATTCATAATCATCGTAAAAGTTGTATTATTGTAAGAAATGACAGACGTTTTTCCGTGTGAACTGCGAAAAAATAGTTCACGTATCTTGAATATTCACGTGAGACTCAAACAAATATTTAGGCTTGCTCGGTGCTTGCCGACGTAAATATGAAGCGTTTGTAAAAAGCAAAGTATTCATCTGAATTATAATAACCACTCATATTAGGCCTATAATTATTCAATATGTTTCATGCAAGCTTCTTGTTTTCTGCTAGTTCAATCATACTATACCCGTACCTGAACTGCTCATAGTTATATAAAACAAAAAGCGGGAAAATACTTACACTAAAAAAAATGGTAATTTCGTAAATGATAAATAAATATTTAATGTTCACAGCATTGAAAATATAAAAGCCATCAAATTCTTCAAAAATTAGTAAATAATGGATGAATGAGTAAATGTTATTCTTATATTTATTCGTGCAATTTATTGTAAATATTTTTATAACACACTATGAAATAAACTCGTTCTTCCCGTACAATGTAAGTAGATAATCGAAAATGAATGAAGTTTCGGCAATGACTATTAATACTAATTAACGTAGATTATATAGCGGAGAAATTCATACTTCACGTAAAAAGCATAGATAAACTTTAGCCCTAATTGTTGATTTTTAGGCGCGTGTTGGAATTTGTATCGAGAAGTAATGGTTTTGGAGTTATTTATAAACCACAAAAAGGTAAAGAATTAACTTAATATGTTTCCTTGCGTGTTTATTTATGTTACTGAAGTAACTGTCTTTATTAAAGTTAACGCTATAAACGTCGTAGTTTTGCACTTTTATAGAGGAATGCAAGTTGAATGTCGTTCACTTTTGCACTCGTATAGAGCAATGCACGTTAAATGTCGCTCACTTTTGCACTCGTGTGAACGTAAGCACTGCACATTTAGCCTATAGCCCTATACGAATATTGGGTTTCTATGTGAGCTAGCACGCATACACATACGGATTGACTAATACATTTTGATCTTTAAATTACATAGATAGAGTGTTCCATACTGCAGTAACTTTTTTTATTTGTTTGTTGTTTTTTTTCTATTGTGTTGATTCGTTTTCCTTATTTGGTGAAAATAAAGCTCAGTTCAGTCCACTAATGATAAAAAATTAGTTTATTTCTTCCTTAACCTGCAGACTATTATCACTTTTACACAGTTGTGCGTGTTGGCCTAAGTTCACAAATAACGTTTTCACCTTCAAATTCAACAGAGATTTACTCACTAATGGTACTACGACTAACGTACAAATAAAATTATAGAATTATATGTTATTATCTGTGGATTTTCACATATAAAAACTAACAAGTTAAATGTGAATTTTGGTGTTTAAAACGTAAAATTAGGAGTATTATACTGCATATTTATAAAGAGCGTTTCAAAGAATATTTTGTCTTTCATCGTTCAACCCACCTGTTGAGCTCTGGTATTGTACGAAAGACCCCTTATGGGAGAAGAAATACAGATCTAAAATGCTATTTTTACATGCCTCGGCTTTTGAATACGAAATGGACAAATTAAAAGGAATGTAATAAACAAACATATAGGGTTTTTGTTCTTTTTATCACATATTTTAGGGCTATTGGTTTTTATTTTTTCGCCCGTTTTCGATATTAAAACCGTAACTTTTAAAGCTATACTTTTAGCATTTTAACAATAAAAATACGTTTTTACAATACAAAAATCATTCAATCGTTCATATCATTGATGTTCTATGTTAGACACAGAAGATAAAGTTGTATATTTTTTTTTAGGCTTGACAAAAGTTTTATTTATTTATTGCTAATTTTCAAACTATAAAAACTTGTTTTTATTACTTTCTCTACATCGAACAAAATTGCAACAAAAAAAGAAATTCATAATTACGTGAACAAATATAAAGCAAACAGACAACATATATTTCGTTAATTCATTTTAAGGACATTCAAAAAGAAAAAAGCCTGTAAAACATGAAATATTTTATTAACTATTCTATAAATAAGAACCTCTAAAACAAATCACTATTTAAGATATAAAGAATAGTAACAGCGAACAATACTGTCTAGTAATTTTGAAGAAATTCGGGAAAACTTAGTTGCCGGTTAGGTTAACAAATAAACTAATTTACTCAAGACAACAACGATTAACATGAGTTACATTTTTAAGAGTTTCTCAAAATCAGGGACCTTCTATTTCTTTTTCTGCAGAGACTTGAAACTAGACAATATTTTGCTTGACTCTGAAGGACATATTCGATTGGTCGACTTTGGAATGTGTCAGTTACGAAGTTATAACGAAGAGTGTCTTCCTTCAAACTTTTGTGGCACCCCTGAGTATATGGCTCCAGAAGTACGTACCAACTGCTTTTTTTTACCTTTTTTTATATACGGCACGTGTAGTTTGGTGCTACTCTCCACAGAGGTTCACCGCTAATTTCGGTGCGAACTCACATGTAACTTTCACTTACTAGTAACCCAATAATGAATTCATACATAAAGTTTAGTTACTAGTAATCCAATATTGAACTGACACCTAAAGCTTAGTCACTTGTAATCCAATATTGAATTCATACATAAGGTTTAGTTATTAGTAATCCAATATTGAACTCACACCTAAAATTTAGTCACTTGTAATCCAATATTGAATTCATACATAAAGTTTAGTTACTAGTAATCCAAAATTGAACTCACACCTAAAGTTTAGTCACTTGTAATCCAATATTGAATTCATACATAAAATTTAGTTATTAGTAATCCAATATTGAACTCACACCTAAAGTTTAGTCACTTGTAATCCAAAACTGAACTCACACATAAAGTGAAGTCATTTGTAATCCAATATTGAAATCACACAAAATTTAGTCACTTGTAATCCAATATTGAACTCACACATAAAGTGTAGTCATTTGTAATCCAATATTGAACTTTTATTCTCTTTGAAACTTTCATGAAATGCTAGTTTCCTGAATATTGTGTTTGAGTTGTTAAAATGTTTTGCTTTTTCCTTTTAATACGGCAGAAACAGCGTTTTGATTTCTGTAGCGTTCTGTTAAACTCAGCTTACAGAAAATTCAGAATGTTAAACATACTGTATAGTGAAGTCAGTGTTGTTTTTGTTGTAATTAATTTGAAATATTTACTTAATTTTCTGGATTTTCATTTGCCGTTTTAACAAAATTATTCTTTATGCGCCAAGCTTTTATTGAGCCTATTTTAAAAGAAATATCTCACTACTAGTGAATTCTTCATTCATGATACTAAATAACAACAATTTGAATGTTGCCTTGGATCAATGGTTAACTGATTTCTACTAATACTGAATAACAATAATTGAAATGTTGCCTTGGATCAATGCTTAACTAGTTTCTACTAATATCTTGAATAGATGTTGTCTAAAAGTTATAAGCGAATAAGCACTTAACGCTTTTGTTGCCAGAATGTTCAAGTGTTCTGTTTATTTCCGGTTGATTGTAGCCTGGTTTGATACCTCCATGGCAAAACCAATAGAAACAAACTGAAACAGATAACCTATACGTTTATATTGTATATATCCCGTGTGAATAACGCTAGATTCTTCAAGTTACAATACGTAATAATAATGCACATTATTTGGTAATTCAATGTGCTATTGTTCCTTTCTTTAAAAAATTCCCATCACCAAATATCACATGAGAGACGCTCTCTAACGCATGCCATTGGGGAGTTCTAATTCCCTTACTAACACTATCTAGAAGTACTTTACAAATATACAAAGTTGTACGTGTTGATACATGTACAACTATAAAGCAGTTGAAAATACTATATTATTCACGTATTTGTATAATGAAAGAAACTATTACTTGCCCTCTGAGAGTAGAACAAACATATATATATATATATATTTGTCTTTTAAGTTACACACTAGTACCCCTACCAAATAAACGCTGAAAATAAAACTCTAAGAAAAGGAAAATAAATCTGATAAGATATAGACTTCATCGCTTGTAAACTTAAAGCACCGCTTGCAAAAATCCATAAAAAAGACAACAAACAAATCAGCAACAGAACAGTATGTTACAGATCTGAGGTATATTTAGAAAGCTATATTTTCAATAAAAATAAACAGACTTTCGGGATTCTTTAAATATAGGATGAGTTCGCTTCTTTTAAGTTCCGCATTGACAAGAATTTTTGACGTAGTGGCTTTCCGCCCCAGTAGCTCAGCAGTAATTCTGCAAGCTTACGACGCAAAATTCGAATTTCAATACTAAAGGTGGATAGAGAACAAATAGCCCAATATGCAACTTTCTTTTAACAAAAACCAAACCAAATCGCCCTAGTGTGCTAGTTTGATGAGTATAACTATATTTTATTTTAATGAACACATATATGCACAATTATGTATATTCGTGTATTATTATAATTAAATAATTCATCGGGTGTATTCACACTAACGCATTTACGGGTATTTTAAAGTATAAGTACTATTATAGTTCGTAAAGAATATGTAATCTAATAATGTTAACATTTCAAATAGTATAAGTACTATTATAGTTCGTAAAGAATATGTAATCTAATAATGTTAACATTTCAAATAGTATAAGTACTATTATAGTTCGTAAAGAATATGTAATCTAATAATGTTAACATTTAAAATAACCAGATTTGTTAAACGGTTTATAGTTGATTATAAAGGAATCATACACACAAGTTGCCAATTAATTTTATTTTGGCTTCACATATTATACGACTTATCAATTTTACCCTTATATTTAGTTTTTATATCAAAAACACGTACTCATGCATCGTTTGTTGTTATAAACCGCACTAATGCATATAACCTATCTTATTAGGCATCTTTATTCCTTTCAATTGTTGAATAAATAATCACACGAATTAACCTTTGTTGGCTAACAGAGTTTCTAATAACACACACAGATGCAAGAGAATACCATCAACATTGTAGTTAATCCCACTAATTACTGCTGGAATTCTGTGTGTTTTATATAGATATTTTATAATTTCGTCTAATCGTTTTGGTCGTTTAATCAGTTCTTTAACTGTTCTAACAAGCCAAAATGTATTAGATGCTCCTGATATAACGTACTTCTCCTACATCGTATTTCCTGTCGTTTGGTTGAAGCTTTCTGTTTCGTCGGTGGTAATGTGATGTGTATTGCATGAACACGTGTTTATTAGTACATTCCTTCTTTCAAAACCAGCATTATGGAAATATTTCGCAATCTTTCGTTTTCCACTTCCGCAGATGATCAAAGGGCAACAGTACAACCAGTCTGTTGACTGGTGGTCCTTCGGAGTGTTACTGTACGAGATGCTAACAGGACAGTCTCCTTATAACGGAACCGATGAAGCCGAGCTATTCTGGTCGATCTGTAATGAAGAGGTTTATTACCCCAGGTTCCTTAGTAAAGAAGCAAAAGAGATAATTTCTTTAGTAAGTACAATATTTTTAGGCATTTTCATGCCACTAACTTCGATAATTCAAAACATTGTAGTTTGTTAAGATTTAAATCCACTATTACTAGATTCATTTCTAGAATTGTATATCTAGTACGCCCTCGATATGCCAACAAACTAGAATAGGAGTTTATCTAAATAGATTAGTCTTTAAAATTCAGTAAGTAAACATCCATCATCTTATTTAGGCCTAGTCGAGGACTGACTTAATGTCTTCTGTTTGACAAAGTTCAGAGATTCTACAGTTAAAGATGTTAGCTCTGTTGATAAATAGTATTTGGAAACAAATATTGTTACTGCTCTTCCAAAATATTTAATATTTTGTACAGGTAAATGTAAGTTTAATGTAAAATAAAAAGCCACTTAAAAATTATAACCTCTCTCGTTTCTATATAAAATATCGTTTAAAAACATAGTTTAAACATAATTATTTCGAGCTCTACAACGTAATTAATGAACAAACATAACTCAAGTACACTGTATCATTGCACAATATTTAAATTCAAACAAAACTGATCATTAAGCACGAGCACGGTTCGTCGCTATGGTAGAGCTCCGGATTTCGAAAGTGGTGAGCCGGGTTCGAATCCATGCGATACCAAAAAATACCCCTTTAACTTAGGGGTGTGTTATAAGAGTGCTAATCCATCCATTAGTGTGGGTAAAGCGTGGCTACCTTCCTTCTAGTCAACAGTTCAAAATTAGGAACGTACAAATCCAGATTTAAATACCCAACTGGTTTACAAAAAGGATTTATCTGCAACGTAAATATAAATTATTGATTTTGATGAAAAATTAATTGACTGAAAGAGCTAGCAAATTAAAATAATTCGCAAAAGTGTGTACTAATAATACAGTAAATATTATATCAGTAGATGAAGTATGCTGATATTCCCGTACTATAGATCTGTACTTACTCTTCCTTATCTTATTCTACCATTCTTCTATAAAACTCCATTACTTTAGGAATACTTTGATAAGTATTTAAATAACCATTTAATGTGGACAAGTGAGGGGTCTTTTCACTGAATAATCCTAACTCAAGTCTTGTGAAGTAGAGCAAAAAAATCACTTAATTTTACTCTTTCACTATAGTGAAGAAAGTGTGAAATTTCTGACATTTTTGATATAGAAATTTAGGTTTCCGGTCGAGCACTGGAGAGAATTAAACAAACAAAACACAACTATGTTGTTTGCCTTGGTCAGACCTTATGAGATTCGAAGTTAGATCTGTGCATGTTGATTTGTGTTTTCTACAGAAACTTGTTCAAAGTTGTTTTTTATAATCAATAATTTGTAATATTTTTCTAAGAACTTATGATTTAATCAGTGAATGATAAGTTGCAATATCTGATTTTAACAAACATTCCATATTTTCAGATTTTTCTAATAATATATGAATACTTTACTATAAAAGCGCCCATGGATTGCCTGTTATATAAAATCAAAATAGAAGAAATTCGATGTAAAGATGTACATGTTCCTGCAAGTTTTAAAACTTTAGCAGTTAAATAAGTTTCAAATCATAATGATGTATGTGCCTATATTTGTGAAGGTCAAAGTAAACAGTATAATGTGAAAAAATATTTTTTTTTTTTATACAGCTTCTTCAAAAGGATCCGACTATGCGACTGGGGATGCCCACGTGCTCAGCAGGAAACATAATGTATCAGCCTTTCTTCAAGTCTGTCAGTTGGGAGAGGATTGAACGTAAACTAATTGAACCACCTTTCAAGCCTACACTGGTCAGTATAACAGTTATATCTAGCAATTCTGCGTGTTTTTAACAAATGATATATTAATATTTCCATAGTAGTGATTTTCGTGAAGATTACTATCTTTATTTGTATATGTTGATCAACATTAAACTTCGTCCTAACGTTTACAATACAGCCATGTGATATTTTTTTAATCTATCTGTGTGTAGTCAACCCTATCAAGTAGCAACATCCCATCACCTTTATCAGGCTTAGTAATGATAATATCCGTTGTACATTTTAAATGCTTTGAAGCAGACATCCTTTCTACATAATTTGTTTTGTTTTGATTATAGCTATATAATCTGTGTCAAGAGCAATACTGCCAAGATGAGTCTTAAAGTTAGCAAATGTATTTGTCCCAAATTGGTCCCTTTTTTATCTAACGTAAAATGCCTCAAAAGGGATTAGGAACTCCACTAGACGTAGTTTAGGAGGGGGCATAGCCCAAATCATTCCATTCTATATTATTTAACTCATACTCATTATTAATAATGCTTTCTGAAGTTCGTAAGAAGCTGACCCTGGTATGGTGTATTAAGTATATATATATATATTTTTTAGCTGTTTGAGATTCATATTTATGCACATTATGATGACGATTTGTACTCCTGAAAAAGAATAGTCAACTATTCGAAAGCACTCGAGTTTTGGGTCTTATTTTAAGTCGATGACGATTTGGTATATTTCACGATTATTTTTAATTGAATAATTCAGAGTTATGTATTCTAATGAATTATTAGCTTTAATAATAACATTTTGGACTTCATATTTAACACTTTAAACCATTCTTAAGATGAAAGTGAAATAAAACTTTTATTTTTATTATGCCATAACAATGTTAACAATCATAACTGAAAATACGATTGTAACGTTTTTAGTGATGATTTTGTTTTAGTATATGATCATTAATTTCTGATCAAAGCAAGTTACGTACATTGATCAGAACTAAAAATTAACCAAATATTTAATATACAAAATGTAATATTTCGGTTTAACTAGGAATATTCATTATCGTAAAACAAACATTAATAATGATTAGTATGTAGTTATTCATCAGTTCGGTAGCCTCGCTGTTTGCGGTATTTCTGACCGTAAGTAAAATATAATATTTGAGTATTAAAATTTACCTTAAAAACGAGGTAATCTCCAGCAAGGTCAGGGTATTATTGAGAACCTTCGCAAGAGTAATTGAAACCGATTCACTCAAGCTCTGTGATGGTAGTCTAGAATTAACGTCTTCATCACTAAAATCCAACAGTTTTTCTAAGCCTGAAGTTCGTTGAGACATAATTATCTAATATGCTATAATGTATACTTAGGTTTTGTATCTTATATAAACTCTGTCATTAAAATGAAGGCGTTTATATTGTTTCAGTCAGGACCAAGTGATGTAAGTAACTTTGACGATGGCTTTACCAGGGAAACAGCGGTCCTGACCCCGTTAGAACCCCAATTGCTAGCTACAATGGATCAGCAGCAGTTTAAGGGATTCAGCTACACTAACCCCAGTATGACTGACTAACTCGTTAAGATCTGCTAGCGTGGTGATTACACAGATTAAATCCATGGCAACTACAGAAGAAGAATATTTGAGACCTTCTATGACTGACTAACTCGATAAGATCTGCTAGCGTGGTGATTACACAGATTAAATCCATGGCAACTACAGAAGAAGAGTATTTGAGACCTTCTATGACTGACTAACTCGTTAAGATCTGCTAGCGTGGTGATTACACAGATTAAATCCATGGCAACTACAGAAGAAGAGTATTTGAGACCTTCTATGATTGATTAACTCGTTAAGATCTGCTAGCGTGGTGATAACACAGATTAAGTCCATGGCAACTACAGAAGAAAAGGGTCAACCAAAGAAACATAAGCTGCAGTTAGTTCGGCTACTTAAGCTATTATACTGATAACTAGGATATTTATTTCCTTAACTTATAGAAAGTATGTCTTACTTTCTGCGTGAATTTAGTTCTTCTGAGAACGAAAGTAAGTAAATTCAAGTTTTAAATTAAGAAGAGAACTACAAAATCAACAACAGATAAATAACTTGTGAAAGCAATCTTTGTTGCTGTAAGCTTGTCTAGAGACTTCTTTGATAATCAGTTTTCAGTCCTTATGTCACACCATCTTAGGAAAATTAGGAGTGTCTTGTAAAAGGAAAAGTTTAACAGTATGCTTAAAATCTTATGTCTCATACCTGAAACAAAATATTATAAGGAATAAAGTTAGTTGATAATTCTTTTAAATTGGAGACATTCCAAAAACATATTATCGTTACTTAAATATTAAACGTTTACTTGTCATTTATTTGAAACTCTCTATGGAGATGTTAGCAAATTGCCAAGCAAATCCGAAGACGTGTAAAGAAAATTGTTACGTAATTACAGTTAAACTATTTTTCGAAAGTGGTGTGAGTTTGGATCATGCGTCTACACACTCTTGTTAAAATAATAGTAGAGATAAAGTATCTGATGCTTATACAAGATATTGTGATTTAACATCATGCTCCTGTAATACGTATTTAAATCATTTACTTAGCTTAAAATAAATTTTATATGCCGTCGTTATGTCGAAAAAAATCTATGTGTAAGAGCTACACAGCGCCCTCACTAGAAATTTCAACTAAACAATAAAGAGTATCCCGCCGATTCTACCGGTAGAGTTTCTATCGATGTATATTATGTTAAAGGTATAATTACCTAGTTGAATTATTCTAGTCTTCCTAATGCAATATTATGTAATATTCTACTATACTATGCAAAATTATTCTACGATCTAAAAATATTAAGTCCATTGTTTGGCATTCAAGACGTTATAGTATAAGCTTAATTATATACAAAGTATTTCTAGAATATATTTTCATATAATGTTAGGACTGTTGTTAATACACGTTTTGATAAATCTGATTATAAGTACTTTTTTGTACAAATAAACAGTACGTCATTGATTGACTATTTCTGCACTTTTTTTACTTGTGTGTAAAATAATTTTGGAAAATATGCTTGAAACAAAACGTCAATATCTTAAAACTTTTAATCGAAATAACTTAATCTTCTTATCTCTATACTTCTCCTCTCCCCTTTTTTACAGTTTGTATGTTTTTATTCTCTTGTAAAAATAAAGCTTGACTGCTTTAAATCAGTTTAATAAAAATGTTTGAAAATCAGTCTTCTGTATCGTTCTCCCAATGTTTTCAAGGTGAAATATCTTGGTAATATATTAAGTGTTTAAGAATGTCTAATTAATATTGATTGAACAATAATCATTTATATTCAGAGGGTTGGGTGTGTTACATTAAAACGATTTTGTGCAAATCAGCAAATCACGTGAAAACTCCAACCGATATAATGTTGTGGTGAAACGGCTTGAATGGGTAATGAAGAAAAACTTTAATATAAGTTTAACATAACAGCAAATGTACAACGTTTCGACAAGGTTTTGTCATCATCAGAACTACATTTTGGCATTTCGCAGGTATCGTGATATTGCCGCAAAATTGAGAATGGTATTTATAGCCCTTTTCCGAGACAGAATTCATACTCTAAGATCATAAACATGTGTTCAGATCGGGGATTTACCTTTTCCAAGACGAGGATATCGTTTGTATTTAATGACATTGGAAATCAAAGTAATATGGATCTACTTATGGTGCCAGGACCATCCAGGACAAGTTGTATTTCATATATGGAAAGCAAGGAGCGACGTCTTAAACAAATGAGAATCCACGAACACAAAATTCAATGGCAGAAGCTGTCCACGTGCCAAAGGCAACAATACGCGACATAATTAAGAATGATCCCTGTCTGTCAAAGCGACACGGGTTATGTATACATAAGATGTTTCCACGACATATCCTTTCAACAGTCGCATACCTCAAGCAACTGGAGAATAGAGCGGCTGTTCTTCATGGAGGGAAACATTTTTCCGCTTGGCTTACTTACCTCCTAACTTGTTGGTATGTTATACAATTCCCTTTGCCCTATACAGGGCACAGATAAGATTCTTTGCTGCATTAAAGTTTCCCTAACTAACTAACACATTAAAGATCCCGATGGATTCAACTCACTTCTTAACAACCTCGAATATCACCTTGCCAATTTCATACAACGAAAACACCAAATCACAGCCAGTGAGCACATCAAGATTGAGGAGAATGGAACACAACACTAAGCCTAATGAATTACAGATTTTATGGGTATGAACTTACCTTCGTTTGTCAGCACTTACAAAGATATGGTCAATTCTGAACCATAGAGAAAATGCTGGAAAAGTTGTTGAAGAAGCCAACAATAATCATTCCGAATCGTTGTCTGGACATTGAACATTTTCTGTTCCCTTAATAACACTGTCCCCAAACTTAATCTTATCAGACGAAATTGCTGTATTTTGCATGTAAAATTTATAATTTCACTTTACACAAACTTTCCAGTGGCTCACTAATAAGTTTGAAGGCACATAATTCTAAAAACCGTGTTTCGATACCCGTGATGGGCACATCATAAATAACCCATTGTATAGCTTTGTATTTAACAACAACAAAACCAAAATCCTCACACAAATTACATTTGCTATATCTATTTTCTCTTAGTTACAAACGCCACCTAGCGAATAGGGTGAGAGCTTAAGTCATGCTTCATCCTGTTGATAATGTTAAAGAAAATTAATTTACTTTATTCTAATAGTGAAAATGTCACTAGAGACATTTTTATATTTATATCCACCTCTCATTTCTGGCATTTGTGTGTATGTGTAACTTTTGTTCAGAAGGGAAGGGTTAAGAAAAGATTCCAAAAAGAAGAATTGAATCACTTTTGTTGTTTTTGTTATTTGACTAATAATATATACTTATCATGTTGTTTGGGTTACTTGGCATATGGTCTAGTTTGGCTATGTTTTGGGTTACTTTACATATGGTCTAGTTTGGCTATGTTTTGGGTTACTTTACACATGGTCTAGTTTGGCTATGTTTTGGGTTACTTTGCATACGGTCTAAACTGACTATATTTTGGGTTACTTGACTTTTAATCTAAATAGACATGTTTCTCGATGAGTATTCTTATGCTTTACAGCGACCTTTTCTCTGGGTTAAATGGGTTGATCTATACCGACCATGTTTTTGTTTCTACTGGTTTATAATAAGATGTTTTGGTTGTTGACATACTACTGATTAGATATAGACCACAGTTGAAGCAGACCGGAATCTTCACTTCGAGAAAAAAAGATTCAACTAATGATATTCGTGAATAAAACCGTTTAATAACTTAAAATGTTTTGCTTTCCATCTAAGCTTGCCTGAACTGAAGACAAGCACAGGTGAAATTCTGTTGGTACTCACCGGAACTAAGCACCGGTTCTTTTTGAAATACCAAATGTAGCTTTTTGGAAACCGGTATAGCGAAACGAATCAGTGAAATACTTTTATATAAGTCTACAGTTTTATTATTCTTATTAAAATACTAGTTTAGCGAAACGAATCAGTGAAATACTTCTATATAAGTCTACAGTTTGATTATTCTTATTAAAATACTAGTTTAGCGAAACGAATCAGTGAAATACTTCTATATAAGTCTACAGTTTGATTATACTTATTAAATTACTAATTTAGCGAAACGAATTAGTGAAATACTTTTATATAAGTCTACAGTTTGATTATTAAAATACTAGTTTAGCGAAACGAATCAGTGAAATACTTCTATATCAGTCTACAGTTTGATTATTAAATTACTGGTATAGCGAAACGAATCAGTGAAATACTTCTATATAAGTCTACAGTTTGATTATTAAAATACTAGTTTAGCGAAACGAATCAGTGAATTTCACTGATTCGTTTCGTTAAACTAGTATTTTAATAAGAATAATCAAACTGTAGGCTTATATAGAAGTATTTCACTGATTCGTTTCGCTAAATTAGTAATTTAATAAGAATAATCAAACTGTAGACGTATATGGAAGTATTTCTTTTATATAAGTCTACAGTTTGATTATTCTTATTAAAATACTAGTTTGGGGAAACGAATCAGTAAAATACTTCTACTTTGCTGTCTGTTTTTGACATTTCCAAAATATTTCAAATCAATTACTTTCTACTGAAGTGCTACGGATAATTTTAGCTGTTTTCCGAAAAATAACAAAAATGTTATTATTAGAGATACAGAAACCTTTCCTTTTGTTCTCCTGCACACGCCCGTAAACTACTGCTTTCCGCTATTTTTGGGAGATCTACCCGATACCGCTCGTGCTATGGGGCAATACTATATCCGGTAGAACATGACTTCCATCGTCATCACAAGCAGTTTGTCCAAGAGTGAATTTTTTTAGTTTAGAAGAAAGTTTGGACCACGTGATCACAAATGGTGTTACAGTAAGCAAAGAATTTATGTTTACTAAATATAGAGACAGAATTCTGATGGGAAACAACTATCACAAAGATTAGAGACACATGCTCTCCAGTGGCTCAGCGGTAAGTCTGCAAACTTACGACGCAAAAAATCGAGTTTCGATACACGTCATGGGCAGAGCACAGGTACTTTATTGTGTAGCTATAAAAATAACATAACCAAAACAAACCACTAGAGCCGAATACTGGCTGTGTTTTAACTATCTTAACTAAATGTTAGAAGTTTCATTATCCAACTCACGCTGTTATCATAATATTTTCGAAACCATAAGTGCAAGTCTCAGTAAATCATGTGTTATGTTAACTGATGTATACAGACTTAGAGGAAAGAGCATCGATAGTAGTTTGACAAAATCCATGTGTGTCGAACTGACTATTCCAGATATCCATGTGTGTCGAACTGACTATTCCAGATATCCATGTGTGTCGAACTGACTATTTCAGGCTCGACATTTTTTTTAGCGACGCTTATTATAGATAGATACCAGTGTTATTTCTTTTTTGATTATTGACAATGCCTCTGTGTTTGTTTGTTTTGAATTTCACGCAAAGCTACACAAGGGCTATCTGCGCTAGCCGTCCGTAATTTAGCAGTGAAAGACTAGAGGGAGGGCAGCTAGTCATCACCACCCACCGCCAACTCTTGGGCTACTCTTCTACAAACGAATATTGGGATTGACGAAAACATTTTAAAGCCCCCACGGTTGAAAGAATGAGCATGTTTGGTGGGACGGGGATTCGAACCCATAACCCTCAGATTGCGAATCAAGCGCCCTAACCACCTGGCAGTGCCGGACCTCGAAAATGTCATAAGAAAGGAAAATAGGGACGGTGTTAAATAAAAAAAAGCATTGGAATTGTCTTAATGTTCCTTAATAATACAGAACGACTGATTGCAGATAAAAACGTTAAACTACAGTTGATAACTTCTCCGTTTGAGGCATTAATAACAGTAATTTTGTGTTTGTTTTATTTTTGTTCTCTTTGTAGTTAAGCAACACAGTGGACTATCTGTGGTCTATCCACCACAGGTATCGAAACCCAGTTTCTAGCATTATAAGTCCGTAGAATTACCGCTGTGTCAACGGAGGAGGGGGCTATAATTTTGTGCATATATATAGATAGATATCGTTTCTAAACTATATATAATGAATTTTTTTTACCTAATCATACTTACGATACGCACGTTTCACCTAACCGATTCTTTACCAAATGTTAGTGTTCCAAATAGGTAAATATTGCAATATGATAGCTGACTACTCTTAAGTACATTATATAGATGAAATATGCTATTACAAGCGAGCTCAGCAAAAGTGGATAGTATTGTATCTTAGAGCAATAACAAAATATAAATTCAGTCAGCCAACTAATGTTTATCCTGTTTCATGAATTGTTTTGTAAATCTTTCAAAGTAAATATAGTTATAATTCACATTTTTTTTCCATTATTCCTATGAAATTGCGAAACATGCTTATCAGTTTAAATTAAACTGTGGTTTTATTTGCAAAAACAAAACAAAAATTATTCTAAGAGTAATGTAGTGATATAAATAAAAACGAAAGCTTAAACGTACAATAATAGGACTAAATTTATCGTAAAGCATTTTGTTCC